GTTAGAGAAGGTTGGCGTTAGGTAGCAGTCAGCCTCTTCGAGTGCCGAAGACTTGTGCTCGAAAGAAACAAGCGATGATCAGAACAAAGATCCAACAGTCTGTCTTCATTGGCTGACAGACTACTATCGAGGCCAAAACTACCCCAAGATGATGTTCGTTGGTGGCTGGCAGCAGGAATGACAATATCCGACTTGTTAGGGGAAAGTAGAAGGTAATGTAGGTGTTAATAAAAGGAATCCTTGACTGCATCCGGGTGCCGTCTATCGAAGCGTAAGCGTAGACGACAAATAAGTCATGCTTAACGCCTTGATGCCTGCTCACATTATAGAACCTCGTAGTCCGACTGCGCACAACCGACTGCTGAATTGGATTCAGTCAAATAGAGCAGATCCAGCCTTGTCACTCAGTGCGACCTCAACACCGGCCTTGATGGCCTGTGGCCCGTCACCCAGCAAGACAATCTCACCATCGTAGTAGTTAGGCAGTTGAAACAAGAAAGACGAAATTCGTAAATAATGCCCATAGATGATACAGTCAGAACGAGAACTCAGGGTTGCGAAGAGATCTCGTTTCAATACTTTTCATCAGGCAACTACAGTTACAAGAATGCAATGTGAATATATAACGAGAAAAAACATGGATGTTGATATTCCAGTGTGTACACTGAAGGAACTAATATTGCGATGCACTTGTGATAGACAGTTCTTATTGAATGGAACCTATTATAGACAGATGGACGGCGTCGCAATGGGCTCTCCCCTAGGGCCAATTCCTGCTGATATCTTCCTTTCTAAAGTTGAACACGAGCCTATTCAGCCTGTTATCTCCGCATTTGATTCGTATTGGCGATACATGGACGACACATTTATTGTCTGTGATATACGTGTCGATGTAGCCTGTCTGCTAGTTGAGTTCAACAATGCACATCCATCGTTGAACTTCATCAGCGAAATTGAATGTGACGGCACCCTAGCTTTGCTGGACGTTTTGCGAAAGAGATGGGAGGATGGTTCACTTGAGAGAAGAGGCTTCCGGAAAGCCATGTGGGCAGGCCAACACGCGCACTTTCTAAGTTTCCTTACCTTTGAAATACAAGAGGTACTTAGTTCGCTGCCTGTATTATCGTGTTGTCAAAATTTGTAGCCCGGAGACACTGGAAGAAGAGAATGATCGCATCCTTGCAACGCTGCAAGAGAATGGTTACTCCATACGGTTCATCAGAAAGCACGCCACTGTCTGTATTCGCCCGAAAACTGTCATCACTGTTCCTACTAAGGATGTCTTTCTCACCGTGCCGTTCAAAGGGGACGTCGCCTTCGATTTACTCAACAGAAGACTCTCGACTGCAGTAGCCGAAGCCTATCCAGTAGCCTACTCACGTGTTGTGGCACAGACTACCCCGTTTATCACCCGACGCCTCAAAGCCAGACTCCCGATCCAGTCCAAGTCTTATATTCTATATCAATTCACTTGCAATTATGGTGCAAGGTATATTGGACATACGACCAATCGTCTGTCAAAACGGATCACCGAGCACTGCCCGGGGTCGCTAAGAAGGGGCATGGTCGGAGGATTTAACAGTGCTATTATGGAACATTTGTTCCAAAGTGGACATGAAATCCGACCAACCGATGCATTCAAAGTCTTCTACAATGTGCCCAACAGGTACCCAGAAATGCTTAGAAAACGGCTCTTGAGGACGGCTGAGGCTATTGTCATCAGAGTGATGCAAGCGCTTTTATTGCCACGGCCAAACACCAATTTTTCAGCGTCGAACAACGGCGGTGGTCAAGTGCGATCTTCTTCACACCATCAGCTGCTATTGACCGACAGGAATATCGATTGAATGTGGCAGCGTTGTTCACATACTCCCCAGTCACATATTCTCAGTCCAGCGTTCACCGGCATACTGCGTTGGGTTGTTTTTGTATTCCCATAACTGTATTTGCCTGATGGGGAAGTATTGAAAAAACGATATTGTTGATTCGTGTGAAACAGCAAATGCTGGCTAGCCGAACAACCTCCACGTGGTGCCACATAGGTGCTTTGGGTTAATCCCGCTCCAGCTGATAGTTCGGCTGTACGGTTGTGAAACCTGGTCCATTAGATCAGCGGACATAAAGAGGTTAGTTGCCTTCGGCAACCGGTGCCTTCGCAGTTTAGCTCACATCTGGTGAGAACACCGCGTGAGCAACGAGCGTGTTCAAAGCCTTGTTTACGGCACAGGAAAAGGAACTGAACCACTCAGCAACGTTATTTCGTGCACCATGTTCCGATGGCTGAGCCACGTGTTATGTATGCCAGCGCACCGAGTCTCGCGGCGTGCGTTGTTCTCACGCCGGGGATGTGGATGGAAGAAGAGGAGGGGTGGCCAAGCGATGACTTGGTCGAGAGGAATGAAGACCCTCACTTCGAAGCTAGCCTCGGTTGGAGCGTCTCGGCTTCCTGGTTGGGGTCCGAAAGACGATGAACACGTTTGGTTGGACACACTTGCTGATATGGCTAGGAGCCAACCTCAGTGGCATTCGTGCTGTGAGTTTCTTTGTCCCACCCCATCCCTCTTAGCCTCCCCCTCCAACCACGATCTCATTAGTTAGCCTTATATAATTTTGCATAATAATTTTTTTCGGGTGTACAGCAGCCGGCTGGTAGCCTACCGGAACGATGCCCATCCGTTACCGGTAGCTCAGCCAGCTTTCACCAGTTGTTGTATTTTTCTCCTTTTTTTTCTTTATATTCCGGCACAGTAGCTGAGGCGTTCCCCACCTCTGGCTAACGTGTATGATGATGATGATGATGATGATGATTTGCCTGATGGGGATGTATTGAAAAAACGATATTGTTGATTCGTGTGAAACAGCAACTGCTGGCTAGCCAAACAACCTCCACGTGGTGCCACATAGGTGGTTTGGGTTAATCCCGCTCCAGCTGATAGTTCGGCGGCAGTGTTCCCGTGGTGAATTTTCGCCTGGCAATCGTTCTCCCTATAAAATACCACATATGTCGGCTCAACAACACTGTGACGTGGCGGATATGATCAGCCAATAAATAGAGTCATCGCCTATTGCCATACCGGAGGATCTTACCCATTTCGCGAACGTCAACCACTTCAAAGATTTCATCTGATCCATTCCTATATTGGCGAATTTGCCTAACAAATACACAGTAATAGTAACAAACTCACTCAACATGATAGCTTGCCCATGAACCCACATACATCCAGTATGCACTGGTTAACTTGCAACATTTCTGTACCATTACTGATGTTACGCGTTGTATTATCATGATCATGCCTTTTAAGGCGTGTCTCGCACCGTCGAGAATAAATCATTTATTTAATTTATTCTAGGTTAAAAATGGTTAGTGACTTAAAAGCACTATAATTTTGTAGTTAAGCTAATCGTCGGGCCCAGGTAGTCACGTCGAGGTGATATCACCTGTGTAGAAGAACTAACAGATGCCACTATCAGGGAAATACACGAAGAGAAGAAGTCACCGGCTTCCATTCCACCGTAGTAATATCATAGATTAATCCTGATTGCTTATTTGTTGTTCTACACACTGATTATTGAGGTAATCGCCACTGATTGCACAAATGTTGTTGCATTGGTGGGTTTGCGGTAGCGCAGCAGGTGTACTATTATGGCATTCTAGGTTTGCGTCGACGGTCAAATTCATCGCTCAAGCACCGAACTGTTTTGTTTCTAAATGCAATTCGTCTGAGGCTCTTCTGTTTCTGTGGCTGTCAAGGTATCAGCAGTACGCCGGTACCGATGCCTCACTACGAAGCGAACACCAAAAGCCACGTGAGGTCGCCCGCATTTACGCAGTATCGAATCGGTGACTTGTGGATTACAAACCAGATGGGTGAACCACTCGGTCCCTGGCCAACGACTCAGTAGCCAGTATGCATAGTCGATGTCGATCATATTATATGGAAGCGAGCGTTGGCCGAATATTACCAACAAACTTGAAAGAAACGAGCTGGGTAACCAAACAAATATGGATTAGGAACAGCAGATAACATGCCAAAGTACTCAGAGACTCTGTGGTACACTGCAGTGCAGGTACAATCAGCGACAAATCGTGGACGATATGCAAATGAGTTCTTAAAACTTCCAGACCTAACAAAGTAGCCGGAATGAAGTCAGTTTTCGTATGGAGAAAAGGAAATCAGTTAACAAGGATATGATGATGGTAAAGAGAAGGCACAGTGAAGGATAGCAGGATAAATGGTTTGTCGATGACACAGTGTACTATGTAATAACGTGTGCTGTGATCCATGTTAAGGGGGAATGCTACGCTCTCGCAAAACCGATATGCAGCGTAAACCGTTGATACGCCACAAATCATAGTTTGGGGTACAACTATATCATTTGCATAAACGATAAAGCGCGAGAAGCGTACTTCGGTTTCTCTAACGAAGGCTCAATGTACTCTGTTTCTATGGGACAACCCGCAGGCTCACACTGACGTTCGGTATTGTCTACGCGTTAAAGATGCAAAAGAATAACGCCTATGTTTGTTTTTGGTTGGGTCAGTAAAAGTGTTCACGTCAAAGGTCAGGTTCTCGTCCCAAGTGCACAGTTCGATTGTGGGATTTCACGCTTCATCTCGTATGTGGTGTTGAACGCTGATCACGTTTATTCGATGGGACGCAGATCAATACGATTTGGGTTCAACTAACTTGCGCCAGTGTGGAACAATACGATGCAATCAATAGATCCGACTGAACGGAAACGGCATAGAACTCAACAGACACAAAGGGCACTCCGAAAACCAACAATGAATCACAATAACCCATCAAAATGATTTGCAGTCAAAATGCGAACTGAAGGAGAAACAAAGCTAATCGAGAAAAGGCGGACTTGAGTGTAGAGGGAGATGGAGGAAAAGTCAGTAAGATTCCAAATTCACTCCTGAAGGCAAGAGGCTGAGGGGCGATCAAACTGAGTCATGGAAAAAATCGCTACTTATAGGTATTTAGATCAGAAACTACCTTAAAGTATTGTACGTCTGTTGGATTGAAGAACATGAAGCGAACCACAACGTGCCGTTGTTGGATTTTATACGGATGGCCAGACAGGAAGATGCGCTTGATTATTAGACGTGAAGGGTCCACCGAGTGCAGTGTGCCAGTAGCGACCAGCTCGCCTAGATAGGGATGAGAAAGTTCACCATCTTCGGACTGAAATAGACAGTAGGAGTAGGGAACGTGAAGCACATTATTAGTTGATGCAATGATTCAATGTTTCTCGACCATGTAAAAGTCAATAGTAAGGTGGAAATCGACTAGTGGTCGGAAAGGGGCGGCAAAAGTAGTAGTAGTAGCAGTAGTAGTAGAAGCAACGACCTAATAAATAGTGCCAGACAAAGCGATGAAACTTGGCGAACGGCAGGTGGTAACACCGCAACATCGCCATCATAGCACATAAGTTGAAGGCGAGCAACACACTTGAGCCATTGTGCCGCAATAAAAATGGAACCTTTTTATGTTATTTTCCACCTCATTTTTGATTTTTTTTAGTTGTCAGGCATTCAGTATGCACAGATCTTCCATTGATTTTAGTTGCGAGCCATATCCTAAATTGTTTTGAGCCATCGGCACTCTTCGTTTTTAGATCCCCAACTAGGCAGGCGTGTGGATCCAATGGCAGCAAGAGGTGAAGTCAATTATTTCGTACGCTGTCGCCATGTGGATGGTTGACCGCCACTTGGTTTCTTCCAGTCGAGTTCTGCACGAGCGAAAGGCACGATAGGACAAACGCTCACCTGACATACGCAGGACGTGGCCGAGCCATTTTAAATGGCGCAGCAAAATCGGCTTTTTGAAGAGAATATTCGCATTCCCTAAGAAACGAAGTCTGACTTCACATTTGCACATACGCCGTTGCCACCACATATGAGCAATTCCCCTCAAGCACCCATTTTATCAAAGGTCGAGTGCTGGTGCATGCCATCCACGCGTACTGGCCATGACTCGCTACCATACAGCAATACCGCCCGGACGGTGGCATTGTCAATACGACTAGTAAGCAAGGGGGAGACATTCCGAAGACGATGCCACAAGTGTTGCAGGTTGACAAACGCAGACCAGGCCATGGTGATATGGAGAGAAATTTCTTTGCTGATAGATCAACCAGCAGATACGCAGCTGCCCAGGTATACAGAGCTGTCAACATGCTCAAGCCGTGTGCTTTCAAGGGTGAGCACGGGAACGGGAGAGTGCCAATCCTGGACCAGCATGTTGCACTTCGACGGGGCGTAGCACATTCCCGAACTCAATCGCCAAACGGTTCATAATGGTTTTCATACTCTGCAAGTCGTCACCAAGTAGTACGATGTCATCGGCCTACCCGATAGTAGTTGCAGACCAGCGTGCTGAATTTTCGATAGGACGTCTTCGATCGCAAGATGGAAGAGGAACGGGGATATACGGTATCTTTGCCATATACCGCTACTGATAGCGAAGAAAGAAAACTTGCCATAGACCCTTACTCTGCCAGAGACATGGAAGTAAAGTGCGCGCAGGATGGTTGTCTACTTCACTGGGACATCGTTTCTTACCAAGCAACATCATAGAGCAAGTCGATCAACCGAGTCGAATGCGGCACGGATGTCGAATAATACAAGGATAGTAGGTCTCTGGTAGAGACAGTGGTGTTCGATGATTTGGCAGAGACTGAATATTCGATCCACACATCCACGACCAGGGCAGAAGCAATCTTGTTCTTCCCGATACTGTGATTCGCGACTCAGGGATAGTCCACGAAGCAGTATGGGTGCCAATAGCTTTGAAGCAACCGAAATGAGATAGATACCCAGGTGATTAGCGCATAAAATGCGGACACATTTTTAGAAATTGGGGCAATAACTGACTCGTCACAGGAAGGTACCTTTTCTTCGTGCCAGAATTTGGAGATCAGGTTAGCTGACTGGTGATAACTGTGCCACCATGTTTGAACAGATTCGGATGAAGTCCGTCTGAGCCGACAACTTTGAATCGCTTCAAATGTCGAAGTGCAACAAAAACTTCTGCTTCACTGGGGGGGGGGTCAAGTGTGACGACCCAGGGTGGGCAGCAGAGTTCGCAAGGTGTACAAGTACGTGGTCAGGGCCAACTGAACTGCGAATGAAGATGTTCGGCCTAACGATATATGCATCTGTGTAGAATAGCAATCGGCCAACCGTCAGCTTCGGAAGTGGTCTCACTGACACTGAGCATTCTGTGTCCAGTGGAACGAATGAGCTGGAAGAGCTTGCTAATATTGACAGACGGGGTAGCGACAATTTCCGAAGCACGCTGAAACCACCAGGCTTCGCGGTTGCTGCGTAGATTATGATTGAGCTGCCGACTGACAGAACAGCGCACTTCGTTATGATCAGACACCGCTGGATTAGTTCTGTGGAGGTAAAATGGATCCAGAGAGGGCGTTGAGATCCATGCGTGCATAGAGCAGAGTAAGACCAAAGACTGGCTGTCCTGAAGTAATCATGGTCTTTCACATGAAAGTCCAGTGTTCATCAATGCTTTATGGTATGTCACGGCTGAGTGCATCGGCCAGGGAAGTTTGATAGCTCTGTTGAACCGAAAGGGTAAATTGTTTACAATGCTTCCTTTTAGGGGACCTTCAGAAAATCATAGAGATGTTCGAACAAACAAGAGCATGGTCTGAGTCGAGAAAGGTGAACAAGATGGATTTGCAATCCCTTACACTACCCCGCCATCTGAAACTGCTTGCGAGATGATCAGCCTGAGATCATGACGGAAGACATAGTGAGTGCCGCCTTGTGATGTGGCTGGACCGTAGTCCGCTCCACACTAAGTGCATGGAACCACTCTTTGGTCCTAACACGGCCACAAAAACCGTGCACCCTATCCCCTCCAGCAACGACCAACTGTCTCCTAGAGCCAGTATGGAGGAGGTAGTGGGTAATAGACAGGTAGGCACCTTGTCAACACGCACATCAAGCACAGCCGCACCGGGGATGACAAACACCAGCCAATCATTTGAAATGACATCAAATAAAATATATCTGTTAAAGCATACAGGTATGCTGACATAACTGATCGCTAAATCAGCATATAATGTAAGTTGGTTAGCAATGAATCCGCGATAAGTACAAAATGTCCACAAGTTACTCAAACCATTCTACAAACACAATAAAATTTACAAAGATAATCACAATTAGCGTAAGCAGCGTGGCCAGTAAATAGATGGTTATTCAGATAGACAGAACAAATCAAATAAAGTGGAATGATATTTACCTAACTTAAATAGACCTAGTCGAAGTGTAAGTTGGTTTAGTCTAATTGCGGTGAAGAAGCATCATGAATGCATCAGCCTCAGCATGTATACGTACGTACACAGATAGATCCAGTATGTCGTTGGTCAATTTGCGATATTTTTGTGCAAGTACCGACTGTACGTGTTGGTATTATCCCCATCCTGCCCTTGCAGGCGTGGCTCGCACTGCCGAGAATAAAACATTTATTTGTTTATGTAATGAGTAGTATGTGTAAAAACAAGAGACAGTGAATCGTTTTGAACGAAGAACGCGAAGTGTACAAATTAACAATCATCGATACGTTGTGTATGAAGGTGCGCAGCGGAAGAGAGAGAGGCTGAACTGGGCCACGAAGGAAGTACACAAATGGACCCTACTTTCTATGCTCGAATTGATGCTATCTAGACCTGGGTTCTCTAATACACAACAAGTCTGCACCGCGTTGCGTTTTTCACAGCCTGGTTGCAGTGTCAAATTGCGTCTGTTGAAGGACCTAGCATGAAATGGTACTTTAGGCTTGAAAAATGACGCAGCAATCTGGCTAGTGCGGCCGAGAAGTCGTTAGTTGGTGCCTGCTGCTATACACGCGAACAGGATTTGTGAAAATGAAAGGGAAACGGAGCGGGAGAAAAAAGTAGCGTCGACAGTGTTTGTGAGCAGGTGACAATATCTGGTTACACACTCAGCTGACTCAATAGCGATCCACAAACAAGTGGGATGGATAGAGGTTAGTTCGAGAGACTCCACTCCGAGCCTTTGACTTGATAGTATGACCCCAAAGGTAGCGGAAAGCACGTACACCTGAGAATGACTGCAGAATCCTACTGGGATACGCTTGAGGTATGTCACGCGGAAATATATGTGGAAGAGTTGACTTGAATGTCCAAAGTGCCAATGCAACAGCTATTAAGAGAGAAAACCACCCGTCTCTTCGCGAACTGAGAGTAACGATCTTACATGCAGCAGCTATTAGACGAGTAGCAACACACGCCGTGTGGGAGTGAGAATGGTGTAAACCCTCTTCAAGTTGCTCCCAAGCAAAACTAAAATGCGATACGATAGGGACGCGTGCAAACGAAACTATGCCATGGTCAGGATGATCCAGAAAAAAAAACTCAAAGCTTACTTCGTTAATGCGAATTCGAAACTGCAACACGTTAGCAGGGGCGTACATCACAGGAGCATAGACCGTTGCGACGACGCTTGCTTGCGTGGCGGAAAAAAACTGTTCAAATTTGGCTTTTTCATGTGCACCCAAAGTTTGAGTGGAGTAAATAGGACAAGCAATAAATCGTCGTATTCCAACCTGTCAAAAGGGAATCAGTACAGAGCAAGTCAGATGGAAAATGGATCATCAAGGTTAAAATTCAGAGAACACTGTATACTACTGTACGCATAGGGTTGACACTTTCTTATCTTCAAAAGGGACAAAATCAAGTCAGGAAAAGCATACAAGTTCCTGTGTTATTCCTGCCACAACCAGAGACCCGAGGTCGTCAGTTAATGGAATACCAAAGCTAAATGAAGTAATTAATTGAGTGGTTGAGTGCGTTTAGTATTTATTGTTCCCTTGGATGACGTCCTCGAGATAGACTCCATTCACCCCAACGTCCAACGAGGTGAAACATCAAGATGGTCTGTCTTTTTTGGGGATCCTCATGAGGGGACGGGATGACGGCAGACACACTGCAAACTAACCTGGGGAGGACAGCTCCCTTATTTTGCAACTTCGCCCCATTAGCGTACAAATGTGGCCTCACGAAGACACTGTTATACGGGGCCGGGAGAATTTGCAGCCAGGAACTGCAAAATGCCGAAGAAGACTTTTACACAAGTCTACCGTCTAACTGGCATCCACAGAAATTTATGCAACTACACAACAGATCACCAAGTAAAAACTGCCTGTGATAAGGGCAAAAAGAAAGGATGTTTACTTGTTCCTACTGTTGGAAGGGGACCATGCTGCAAATGACGTTAAACAGAAGATAACGACTGCTCTATGGTGGACTTATATGGTCAATTAACTAGGAGTTATCTGCACCACACGAAGAGACTTTCTGCGGAAAAATCAGAGATTAGCTAAGTGGTTCGGTTTCCTACCTTATCTAGCAGCTCACTAGCAACTGCGGTGACATCTGATAGAGGCTGAACTATCGGCTTACTCAAAAAGTGGCTGAACACTAGCCAAGGTGGGAAAAGCGGTTCCACTGATAAAATAGGATAGAGTGGACCAGAGGGCGAACAGGGAACCCATCTCGTCCACCACTAAGCACCGTATGACAACGTGTCACCAAGTCGAGAAGGTAAATTCATTCAAAGAGTGATCACGTAAACGGAATCGGAAAATGTTATTAATCAGTGAAGATTCGATGATAAAAGCGAATCGTGAAGTTGTGCAATAAACACCGAACACAGTCCGTAAGAGTACCTCATTCTTATCCGTGCAGTAATTATAAGGCCCCTTTGGGCCTTAATTGTGCTACTACGACAAAACATTACACTGAATGTTTCCACGCATGTAATGCAGCTGAAATGTCTGTGTGTGTGGCAAACTATGTCTTCCTTTGGGGCTGATGGATAACTGTTCGGAGACTGACTGGGATATGCTGCACCGGCTGCAACAACAAGTGGTGGAGATGTTTTGCCAACACAACGACACTGCACGAGACGCAGTTGCTCAGCTGGGAAACAAAAAAGTACGCCAGTGTCGACGAGATACCGCCAAACGTGTTGAAACACGGCGGACCCGCGTTGATCCATACACTGTGCCATTTGTTGCAACGCGTGTCGTTCGAAGAGGAACTGACGACTGATTTGAGGGATGCTCTTGTGCTACCACTGTACAACAGCAAAGCGCAGGAAATGTGCCACGAAGTATCGTACGATCAACATGCTGTTGTGTCGGGAAGGTGACCGCACAGATCCTGTCCAACCGCGTCGTCACTCAGGCCGTTGAACCGAGCGTGACGGAACAGCAATGCAGATTACATTCGGGCCGCAGCCCCATAGATATGGTGTTCCCGCTTTGTCAGTTGCTAGAGAAGTGCAAAGAGCGACACCAGCCATAATACTCGCTGTTTGTTGATTTCACCAAAGCATTTGATACGGTGAACCGCGAGACATTGTGGCTGGTGTTGGGTAAGTTTGTAAGCTTAATTGAATGTCTGCATCTCTGTGCACAAACGTCGGATGACTTAGCAGTTGTCTCTGGTGTGAAGAAAGGCTATGTCTTAGCCCCTGCTCTGTTTTCATATTTATCTTAATGCGGTGATGTCTTATACATTTGATACTGCTTGTGATTACGGTGTTTGTATGGAGCACCATAAGTTGCTGAACTCCCGTCGTTTCGATGCGAGAACCCTAGTGTGTCAGACAACCATCTGTATGTCGCCGTTTGTTGATGTCTGTATGTTGTTTGCACATAACACGCGTGATAACAGCTCAAGCTTCGACAGCAGCTAATTTCGGACTCAACATCAACACAAGCAATACTGTCTTTTCCAGTCTTCACCAGGAATGGAGTCCGTGGGCCTGCCGCAAGTCTAGGTTGCAGATAACGAGCGAGCTACGAATCCGCGTATGGAAGGCGGCTTCCGCATTTGGCAAACTGGAGTATCATGTCTGTAGGATTCGTGTTTACTGTTGGGGCAAAAGGAGTGTACACCAGTCAATAGTGCTGTCCGTTCTTCTATAAGGAAGCGAAACGTGGATGCTGTGCCGAAAGGACGTCCGTTATCTAAAGCGCTTCCATCAATAGTGTCTGCGTCGTATTCTGCGCATCGGTTGGGGTGACCGAGTTGCAGACACGGAGGTGTTCCGAGCTAGTAACATGCATGAAGTGGACTGCATACTTCTGCTGAGGTGGCTGGGGCATATCAACCGCACAGATTCGACGCGGATACCCAAGCAGCTGCTAGATGGACTAGTTAAATCAGGGAAGAGGCAGGTGGGAAAACGAAGTTACGTTACCAAGACATGATCAAGCCGAGTTTATCACGAACTGATCTCAGGTGTTGGGAGTTCAAAGCGGTGGATCGGTGCGAATGGCGTGAGCTTATCAAGAGGGCAGTTGTCAGTTACACGAGAAATCACTGCTGCATGCGGAAAAGAAATGTCGGTTACGGAAACGACAGGCGCTGATGGAAAATAGCCTATCGACACCAAGCACATAGTGTTGTAACACATGCGGCCGCGAGCGTCTGAGCCAAGCCGGCTCGGTAAGCTACCAGCGTCGCCATGTAGGGCCAACATCGAAGTGACGACGAGTCAGTTGAATAGGAATTTATCATCAGCGCAGCGCTTGCGATTCCACTTCTTAACGCAGGCCGATAATGCGGTCGATGTGGTATGTGTGCTACATCATCGCGGCAGTTAGACTGCGCGTGTGCCTGCCTGTTTAGCTCTTGCACTTTAGGTGTTGGTAGTTGATTGTTATTCCCGGTGTGACTGCGCTTGATGTGAATGTTGATGAGATGCTTACTTGTCCAACACCTTACACCTTGATTATACTAGAGACTGATTCGTTGATGGGGTGGGGACGGGTGCACCATCCTCCTGGCGGTGCTACGCTCAGAGTAGTTTCATGCATCCAGTGTGGAACGGCCCAGCCATCGTCTTGTGTATGTCTGGTGCGCATGATTCTCAATTTTGATAAACAGGGAGGCTCCCGGTTTCACATGTTCGCCGAGCTTCGTAATTGGTTTGCAAACGTTTCATCAACAAACGAAGCAACTTCCTCAGTGCGCTACTAGGTCAAATGTAGTCCGCTGATTTGGTCGTCGATTTGTGATCGACCTGTAAGTGACTTTTGTAATGACCTCCTCGATCGGTGCCCTGTGACCTTCATCCGTTAGCCCAAGCTCTCTGATAGATACGGGCGATTCGTGAGATGGTTTTGCCCTGTCAGTTGCGGTTGTGTTGTTGATAGCTTATTTGGATGTCCACGACCGTTTTTAAGCGGTTTTATTCCTCTCAACGTTAACATTTGGTAAACTTGCATGTCAATCGAATTCTGCGTCGATTACCATGCTTCGAGGAACTCTCTTCTTTTCCGTATCTTTCCTATGCGCCTTTTCCAATCGAAGCGATGTCCTTCTTCGTCCGTATGTGATGAGACCAGGGAGAGCGTAGCGATTCTTACAAGCCCCCTGATGCACTTTTACCCTTGTTGACCGTCTTCTTGTCTGACCGACAGTTCTTATAGCAATCTGAACACCATATCATGTGCACATTTCTTCTTTCGTGGGCTCCAGTTCTAGCTTTGGGTTTCCAAAGGGCTCCCCTCAAAGTGGCAATTGGCTTGTTAGCCTTGCTGTGCTGTCATCTCGTACAATGTACTTGACATAGGGTAAAAGGATTCTCTTTGCTGTCGTTTGAGAAGGCTGAGAGGTTTTAGCTGTTGTTTAGGTACCACCGGACGAAGCTACGTGGATATCCATTTGGGTGAAATGGTTCGAATACATTTACCTTTGTAGTGTCACTGCCGAATGACCGCACCTTATCTCGACTCTTGCTTCACTCGCTGTGGTCATTCCAGTTCTTCACACACACACACACATCATCATCATCATCATTATACACGTTAGCTGCAGGTGGAAAACACCTCAGCTAAACCTCGCTAAACTTCTGTTTGACGGCAGTAAAGACGGCTTCAACTTCCGGGGTTATAGTGAACGTCTTCGAGTTTCCCTTCAGTAAGTCGGTAAGCGGATGAAGTAAGTTAGCACAGTTGGGGATGAATCTGCCGCAGTAGTTGACCATACCATTCATTCATTATACACGTTAGCTGCAGATGAGAAACACCTCAGCCATTGTGCCGCAATACAAAAGACAAGGAAAACAAACAGTGGCACAATGGCTGAGTCCCCAGTAACGGATGGACATCGCTCCGGAGAGCTAATAGCTGGCTATCGTGCCGTAAAAAGAGAGTTATATTATGCCTAATGAGTGAGATCGTGATTGGAGGGGATGCTAAGCAGGAGGGGGATGGACAAAGGAACCCACAACACAAACGCCATTAGGGGCGGCTCCAAGCGATATCAACAAGTGTGTCCAACCAAACGTGTTCACCGTCCTTAGGACCCCAGCCAGGCAATCGGGATGCACCAACCAACGCCAACTTCGAAGTGAGAGTTTTCATCTCTCTCGACCAAGTCATCGCTTGGCCTCCCCTCCTCCTCTTCCAACCGCACCCACAACGCGCAAACAATGGACGTCGCGGAAGGCGGTGTGCTGGCATGCGCAACACGTGGCCTAGCCATCGGAGCCTGGTGCGTGATATAATGGTGCTGGGCGGTTCACTCGCTC